TCGCTAGCGTCTTGGCGTTCCATGCCGAAACCTCGATTTGAGAGGGCGTCCCATAATCGATATCGGCAACCGGAGCCTTCGGCCGTGCGTGCCGGTCCCAAGAATGGAAACGCAATGGGCGTGAAGAGCACCAGAGACGTCTAACCGCCGACGACACTCGCTGCGAGCCGGTCGATTACATCCGTTCGACGACGCGGATCCCCAGCAGCGCGAGCCCCGTCTCCAGTGTCCGCGCCACAAGGTCGCACAGCAGCAGCCGGCTCTTCTTGGTCGCTTCGTCCTCGGCCTTCAGCACGGGGCATTGCTCGAAGAACTCCGCGAAGCGGCCGGCGACGTCGAACAGGTAGCCCGTCAGGTAGTGGGGGCGGTACTCGGCAGCGACGCGCTCGAGAGCTTCGCTGAATCGCAGCAGCTCGATGCCTAGCGCGCGTTCGGCAGGTTCGGTCAGTCTTAGCTCCGCGTCGGTAGACCGGAGTGCCGCAGCGCTGACGCCGCTCTTCGCGAAGATGCTCTTCACCCGCGCGACGCTGTACTGCATGTACGCGGCCGTGTTGCCGGTCATGGCGAGCATCTTGTCGTAGCTGAAGACGTAGTCGCTGGTGCGGTTGTGGGCGAGGTCGGCGTACTTGATGGCGCCGATGCCGATCCGCTCGGCGACCTCAGCGCGCTCAGCGTCGGTCTCGAGGATGCTGCTCTTGTCGGCAATCGCGCGGGCGCGCTCGACGGCCTCATCAAGGAGGCCCATCAACCCGACGGCCGAGCCGCTGCGCGTCTTGTAGGGCCTGCCGTCTTCGCCGAGCACGGTGCCGAACGACACGTGCGTCAGCTCTTGGTCGTAGCCCCACAGCCTGGCGGCGGCGACGAGTTGCTCGAAGTGGAGCGACTGACGGTGATCAACGACGTACAGCACCGCGTCGGGCGCCCACTCCTTGGCGCGATACTCGATCGTGGCGAGGTCGGTCGTCGCGTAGAGGAAGGCGCCATCCTTCTTCTGGACGATCAGCGGCGCGTCGAAACCGTCGAGGAACACGCACTGCGCGCCGTCCGACTCGCGGGCGAGACCCTTCGCTTTGAGATCATCGACAACAGGCGCCAAGCGGTCGTGATAAAAGCTCTCGCCGAGCGTGTGGTCGAACGACACGCCGAGGCGGTCGTAAGTCAGTTGCAACTCGGCGAGACACGCCGGCAGGAACCTCTCCCAGAGACCGACGTTCTCCGCGTCACCGGAGTGCAGCTTCGCCGTCTCCGCCAGCGCCGACGCACCGATCGCCGGGTGCTCGCTGCTGAGCTTCGAGAGAACCGGGTCGGCCTCGAACGCGGCGACCTTCGCCTCGGTGGCTTCGATCTCTTTCCGCAGCTCGACAACGGCGCCTTCCGCCTGACGCAGCTTCTTGGCGATCGCCTTGTCCTCCTTGGCGTCGCCGCTCGGTCCTGCGGCCTTGAGGTCTTCGACTCGCTCTTCGGCCGCGGCTAGCTTTTCCGCGAGCGCGGGAAGGGTTTCGGCGATCGTCGCTTGGTAGTCACTGATCTGGTTGACGAGTTTGTAGAGCCGGCCGAGCTCCGCGACGGGCGCCGCTGCGAGCGCGGCGTCATCGCGAAAATGCTTGTAGCCGTAGATGATCATGCCAAACTGGGTGCCCCAGTCGCCGATGTGGTTGTCGGTGATCACCTCGTTGCCCAAGAGGCGCAGCACGTTCGCCAACGCGTCGCCGATGACGGTCGAGCGGATGTGCCCGACGTGCATCGGCTTGGCGACGTTGGGGCTCGAGTAGTCGATGACGTACTTACGCGGCGTCGCCGTGGGCGCAACGCCGAGGTGCTCGTCGGTCAACGCGGCGGTGAGCTGTTTGGTCAGCCACGCGTCCTGGAGTCGCAGGTTGATAAACCCCGGGCCGGCGATCTCGGGCGGCTCGCACATCGCGGCGAAGCCGTCTTGTTCGCTCAGTCGCTGGACGATCTGGGCAGCCACGTCGCGCGGCGCCTTGCCGAGCTGCTTCCCCAGGGGCATCGCGCAGTTGGCTTGGTAGTCGCCGAACTTTGGGTCCTGGCTCGGGAGGACCATCTCGGACAGCTTGGCAGGGTCTTCGGCGAGGCCAGAGAGAGCGGCAGTAAATCGGCGGCGGAGCTCAGCGAGGGCGTTCATGCCAAGAGAATGGCTGGGGGGCTGCTGGGCTGCAAGGCGGGCAGGTCTCGCGCAGAGACGCGGAGACGCA